CTCAATATGTAGCCCAGGGTGACCTCAAACTCAGGGTGATCCTCCTTCCTCAGCCTCCCCAGTGCTGGGATTACAGGCATGCACACCATGCCCAAACTAAAAAATTGGTTTTTTAAAAAGAGCAAATGAACACACATCCCCAAGGTTACTCTTCAGCCAAACAATGTCTCCTTGTGTCTGGATCCAGTTGCCACCTGCAGAGTGTCAAGAAAGCCCTTGTTTCTCTGGACCATGGGGAGATATGACTCTCATGTCTACTTGTGGAGATGGCTAAATAGCCCTAAACCATTCCTCCCAATTCTGTACTTACAAAGAAATGTCTCAGAAAAGAATCAGAAATGACATCCCTGTGCTGTGTGAGCCATATGGTGTACATTTCAGAGGAGGCTTGATTGGAGGAAAAGGAAAACACAAACAGGACAGGAAATGAAGAGCCATGTTACCCATGAATTCAGTTTAGGGTTCATGTGTTGGCACTGGAGTCAACCACCTCTCCAACTGACACTGGATACCTGAATGGTATACTTACTTATATTTATTACCCTACTGAGGAAGACCGAGGTGCACCCATCCTTTGTATGGCCCTCAACTTCACAAGAGGAAGTGAATGGTTAACAAAAACTCCACGTGAATTTTCCTATCTCCTCCTGATGTGGCTGCATGACTGAATGGCAAGCAGAGTTATAAATAGTTGATGCCCTGCTCTGATGCTGCAGTGCCTAATGAATTGTTGCCTCCATAAACTTTTTATGTGTTGCACTGTAGAAGGGAACCAATTAAAAAGTTTTGCCAATTTGAATCCTCCGCATAAAGTATCCTCGGCAAGGAAATAAATGTCTCTGATGCCTTTGGATGCTTGGTGAGCTAAAACTACATCCAAATTGGCTCAATAATATCTTTATACACTCCTGTGATGCTTTGCTCTCTCGCTCATGGTAAGTATTTGTATATCATCAAATGCAAACAATTTTCTGAGCTTTCTTTCCCCCTCACCACCACACACCCACTTTGTAAAACAAAAGTCCAGGACAGACTTTTAATTTGTTTTAGGTCTTTCTTATTAAACTTGTCTGCATCTCTGACTGATCCATTCTGACCTCCCTGGAATCGCGAAGAAATGCTCTGAGGAAAAAAAAAAAAAAAAAAAAAGCTGATAGTTGTGTTTCATGGAAGCCAAAGTTCTTCTTGCAAATTAAAATTACATTCCACTTTGCTGAACACTAAGAAAATCGGCTTTGGAAAATTACCTCGGCCCTAAAGATGGGCCTGCCACTTACCAGTCGAGCCCTGCTCCTCTAATGCGCATCTGTGAGCAAACACGCTTGGCTCTGACTCACATCGGACTAAACAAAATCTCATTAATAGACTTGGCCTAAAGAAGCACTTGAAAAGACAACTAATCATGTTCCACATGATGGGAAATGTCACACAAAATCAGAACGGAGGTGAATTTTTAGACAAGCACTTTCATCATAGGATGGCACCTTCTTCTAAAAATTAGTGTGGATTGTGTTAAGGCTGGTCTCCCACTCTTCCCAACACTGAGCTCAGATTACTGACGCGTCATGTTCAAGATGAGGACAAGGAGGAGGAAGAAAGGAGGGAATGTGGCAGCCTGTGTGCTGCCAAATGAAAAGGGGACCAGCAGTGGCTCAGGCACTGCAGTGGGAGGTGGAGTTGTGGATGAGAAAGGGAGCCCTGCTCTGCCTTCCCAGGGCTTGCAGTGGAGAGAGGAGACAAGTTGAAAGTGATGAACCAACATAAAGGAGCCACTATAAAATAGTAAAAGTGTAGTCTGAATTGAGACTTAAGCAAACAACAAAGCTTTAAAGAGCTGAAAACCTTCCTGAAGTGTCGGGTTAAAAATATCCCTTAGTTATTGCAGATTCGTCAAGTCTGCAATCTCCCAAATGAGTGTACGGTGAGGGCTAAACAAAAAGAAGCAAATGGAATCATTCCAGGGCACCAGGAGGATCAAAGCCTTTCACAGAATTTGAGATTCTCTTAAGGCTAACGCCAAGACCTTCTCTGGGTGGCCCATATTTATTTAGTTATCAGAAGAAGGGAAGGGAATACTCAAGAAAGGTAGAACCACTCAAGCACTTTTCCAGGTAAAGTATTGAATTAATCTACCCAGGAGTGAGATGCCTGGGGCTACAGTTTTATCTAGTTGAGATTGGATCCAGGTGTCCTTGGCTATGATCTTGTCCTATCCTTTGAGGCTTTCTGGCTTGCTCCACTATTACTGGCTTCAGTAGGGATTAGTGATTCACAGAGGTTCACTTACTACGAGTCCACTGCCCATCTCCAGACAAGGAGCCTATGTCATAAGCAGACTCACAAGTAAACATGGAAAGCCCAATTGGCTAATTTAAGTCCTGCTCAGGGCTGCTTTGTAGTAGTCTCCATCACAGAAGATAAACAGTTGAGATGAGGCTTCAAAAATGAGTGATTCCAGAAGACAAAATTGGCCACATGCCACAGGCTGAGGAAACGTTGTGTGTACATGTAGCATCACAGGAACAGAAGTCCAGGAGGCAAAAAGGGAGAGAGGAGGCCCAGCAAGCAGCAGGATGCTGCTTTAAGAAAGACCTGGAGTGCATTGAAAAGAAACTCTGTCATTAATCTAGAGTCAGTTTAGATTTTTGTGTAGGGAGCAGAACGGTTACATCTAACTACAGTCAGGCACACCTAAGGCCATTCTGGCCTTAAGCAGCTGGCATAGATGGCGGTGGTTTCACAACATTATGACAAAGTTCAGACATTCCTATCATCTAGTGATGTCACACCCATGACAATGTGACAGCACACCCCACTACTCACGTTTGTACTGATGCTGATACAGACAAGTCTACAATTTCATTTTTATACACAATTGGGTACTTTTCTGCCATACAGAAGAATAAATTTGAGTCATTTGTAAGAAAATTGATGTACCTTGAGAACATAATGTTAAGTGAAATCAATCAGACACATGAATTTAAATATCATATGACTTTCTTCATATGGAAAACCCAAATTACAGACACGGAGCAAAATAAAAGATAAATAATAAGGAATAGGGAAATAGATCTTTTGCAAGTGGGAAGGGAACCAAGAGTTAGAGGAAGCAGGAAGGAGAAATAAAAAGAATTAAAATATGTTATGCACATGTACCAACTCAACACAATGAATGTAACCCTTATGTACTGCAAACACATGCTAGTAAAAATTTAAGAATAAAATTAAAGAAAGAACAACTGGGATGGGGGAAAAGAGAAAAGAAGGAAGGGGAGAAAAGATGTTGGTACCATATCACACTGGCAACTTCTTTATACATTTCCATGTGTATTGTATCTCTTGCATGCTTGATTTAATCCAGTGTTTGCCTTCATTAGGAGAATGGGAACAGTAGGCCACAACAGTACACACCACATAGCTCAGGTATACCTTGGACTATACCACCTAGGTTGACATGATTGTACTGTATGATGTTCACAGAAAGGCAAAACTGTATGACAGTACATGTCTCAGAAAGTACCCATGACACTAAGCAATGCTGGAGAATATTAGAAAAATCTCTCCTACAGGAGTCTACAGGAGAGATTTGAGAATTTGAGAGCTGAAGAATGCAATCAGAGAGAACTCAAGGAAAGACAAGGTGCCTATCACAATATCACCATGCTCCTCACAAGATGGTGTCTTTTAACATTCTTCAAAAGAGGCTGATGGCGAGACACTTAACATAGATCACCAAAAACAGATATTAGGAGAAGGCCAAGTTAAGGTTCTCTGATGTTGCAGATTAAATCTAAAATTAAGTTATCGAATGTAGACTAACATTCTGAAGAGCACTTATTTCTTAAATCAATTTTTTGGAAAGTTTGGCCAGCTGTGAGTCAAAGAGTATCCTCCCTGACACTCTTCCACTCAAATGGACTTCCTGGAGCTGATGAAGGACACACATGTCTTAGCTTCGGTGTTGTGCCATTCCAACAGATTGAATCTTCACAGTCATTTTTGGCCATAATTCAGTACTTCCCTACATGCTTACAGTATGAACTCTGGATTTCCTCCTCTCAGAAACCTGATTTTCCAGGTGTTGTCTTGCCTTTCTCTGGCCTCAACCCTTCAAAACCCAATCAATCCTCCTTGCTCTTCTGAATCACTTTCAGTAAGAAAAAGCAAGAAAATTATGAGGTAAACCTCAAACTATCCATAGCTGCACCAAAATGTTACGTGAGGAAAACTTTAGAACTTCCATGGCAGTTTGATGTGAATATTATGTTGACAGCTTTTATTGTTCAGATATATGACTGGTCTATCCAGAAATAAATATGCATAGCTTGGGTGGTGCGCATGTAGTGGCTGTGTGGAAACGGAAGCGCCTCCTAGGCAACAGAGTTGGAACCGCAGTCCGGGCTGTAGTGAAAGCCTGAGAGACTCCACCCGACCGCCATTTTGGAAGCGATACCCTTTCTTAACTCAGTTTGGGCTTCTATTCAGGCATACAACCGAATTTCATCAACACTATAATGTCAGCTAAGAATGGGTTCAAATTGCCAGTTGCATCCCCACACCCAAATTTTCCCCATTTGGGAACATAAACAAGATTCTTGGAGTCTGTATTTTTTCATGCTTTAGTCCCAGAGGCCTTTCTATATTTCTAGGTAATAAGTCAATTTCTATACCACTTTCTTATTTAAAAAGTTGGGCTTTGTGTGTGTTAGGTCAGTTAAATATTCCATCTTCTTATAACTAAATATAAAAACCAATAAATGGAGGTATGCATTTTCACAATTTCACATGAGAATGCATCTGCCTTTGGTTTCATCAATTTATATGTGGTTATTTCTTATCATAAATAGCTTTTGAGCTGTCAGAATGATACTTTTTTCACACACTTCCCAGACAAAAAATTTACACAAAGCTAACTATACCACCAAGAAGCATGAAAAATGTAGGTTTCTTGACGAGGAAGAAAACATGATAATTGATGACTGAGATAGGCTGCCCTTCTCTGGAGGTTTTTAATTACCACCTTTCATTTACATAACACTGGAAGGTTTTAGCTTTCAGGTACATTATCACATTTGTTCTCCAACATAACCCTGCAAGAAGAGAGAACAAGTACTACAATCATCTCTTTCAGGAATAAAACACCAAGACTGCGAGGGGTGTAGGGATCCAACAAGGTCACACAGCTTGTTAGGGCTGGAGCTGGGGCTCAAATCAGGATGCCTAACTCCTAGCCAGACATTCTTTCTATTTTACCTCATATAGAGGCAACTAGAAAGGCCCAGGACTGGCTTTTCTGAAAGGCCAAAGTAGTACTGCTGATGGAAAAATTAGTATTTTAATTTCTTCTGTGAGTATTTGTCATCTTTCCACTGGACACATTAGAAAAACTGTGGTTTTGCTGGGAAAAGGTGGTGTTGGGAGACTCCCTTCAAGAAAAGCCTGTTGCCTTTGGAGTCAAACAGTCTTCAAGTCAACTCAATTGCTTGCTAGCTAGGAGAACTGGGACTTCATTTTCCTTAGCTATAAAAAGAAAGATTATAATAGTACCTAACTCATGGCCATGTGGGGAGGACCGGAAGCAATGATGAATGTAAAACACTTTAGCAGCATGCCTGGCACATAGTAAGTACTCAGTTAATGATTGCTGCTATATGTAGGGCTTCTGCGCTCCCTGTCATCACCATCACCATCATCATCAGCTACCTCATCATCATTATGGAGCATGGTGAGTGTAATTCTAAACTCAGTGTGTAGCAAGCACCACACACTGCCAACATGTCATCCGGGGCTTCTATTGGCCAGTTCTTCTCTGGCCTGCTCAGATAATGAGATTTGCAATTTCATTGACTGGGTGTGCTAATTAGAAGCTTTTTAAAGATTTCTCCTGTCCACTGAGGCCACTAAATAATCTCCACATGGGTCAAGTTCTGTAATCGCCCTGTTGCCCCATTGATTGTACAAGTCAGCGGTTGAAGCCACAATGGAAGACCCATGGTGAACATGACAAAGAGTGTGAAGAGCCAGAATGAAGCTTGTCTATGAACTCAGTGCTCTTTTTATCCCCAAAACCCTCCTTTTATCTCCATCATAATTAAATAATAGGACATTTTCTTAACTAGCATCCTACTCATTTTTAAATACATCTTTTATTAGATGGGAGAGCTTATAAAATATTCATCAACACAAGTTACTGCAGTTTCTCTATTTTTCTTCTTTTCTTTTTATTTTTTTCTACTGACCTAACCTCAGAGCTGCTCAAGGGGAAATTAGATTTTTTCTTTTTCTGGTAACTTGGTGAAACTGTCTGCATTTGCTAGATTTCTTACAGACCAGGAAAAAAGTAATTCTGTAGGATTAAGAAGGCCAATGTGCATTCTTATTGTGAAAAAGACACATACAAATGGGCCAGGAATGCTATTCAGTGAGGATAATTGACATTGTAGCACCACGTTCTGCCTTAGTTCACTGTGTCTTGAATGAATGCACAGGTTCTTTGAATCCCTATCAAGAATACCTTGTGTGTCTCTCCCGTGTTACTCTGAATTAAGAAAGATTTTCAGGGACTTTGTGAAATATATGGTGCTTGCACTGTTAATCAGGGAAAGCAGACATCTGATTGCACTTTCACAGAGAATAAGAAAGAGTGTGTGGTTTCACAGATTTTGCTCTTAAAATTAGGAAAACTTGGTAACTGTTCTTTATCTTTCCTGTGCTCAACTGTTGCATATATTTATTCTCTCTTTTTCCCTTTCTGTCCTTTGTTTCTTTATTTGCTTTCTCTTAATTAAAAAAAGTTCAAGGTTCTGGAAGGTTTTTGATGTATTATTGAAAGTGTCAGTGCTCTTTGGTGGTCATGGAAAGGCGAGAACCTCCAGTACCCTCCCCACAATGCTGTTTTATCTCAGAACCCTGGTTTTAAGGTAAACCTTGCTTCCGACATTCAGAAGCACTTTTGATAAGAATGTTCCATAAAGCACTACAAATAGACTAGAACACTCAACTTCATCAAGTGAGTTTCTGGCTCTGCTATAGTAAAATAACAGCCAAGCGCCCTCACAGAGTCTGTACCTCAACCATGATGTGAACCCAAGTTTACTGTCCTTATTTTAATAAGGTTTTTAAAAAATAGCTCAACATTTATGTCACAGAAAGGATGGCACTTTGAAGAACCCAGAAGAGCTGAACCCACACACACACACCCGGCTGCTTTATGTTAATAAGGTTTGCATCAACATTTCTTACCAAGAAATGTGTTTCCTGCCCATTCCAACCCTAATTTCATGATAATTGAAATTTATGTTACTGATTATTAAGAAAATTGAACCATGTGAAATGAAAATGTAATACAGTATTAGCTTAATGGTTAAGTTTTCTATTTCTAGTTTATGATCCTCAGAGGGACATCCCTATAAAGTTCTTGAAATTTTTCTCTCTGAAGTTACCTTAGCAACAAGATAGGGTCATTGTGTGGTATTTACACTCACAAACTTTCCATCAGACTAGAATGTTTATCTTAAATTCTAGAGAAAATAGATGTTTTAGCAACAACCGTACCTTCATGGGAAGGCTCAGCTTTCTCTTTTCAGCCTTCTATTCTAATGTTTTCTTTCCCTCTCCTGTTTAGCTCATTCAGAAATGAGAATCCATTTCAGTGGTTTCCACTTGAAAAGTTACACACTCTAGGAAAGACCTGGACTTATTACAAGGGGTTGCTAGTCCATATTCTTCCCAAGAATAAGCTAGATTTTATCACCACAGTCAAGTTAAAGTGACTAATCCTGTAATAATCAGGCCCTCCAGTTTCCTGGGTGAGCCCAAAGAGATGACCTCACTTCTAAATAAATCCCAGAATTAAGGGTGTGTCATGCTCCAGAAGATCTCTGACTTTGACACAACTGTCAGATTTGTGATGTCTTAAAATCCTACCCAGGACCCACAGCTGTTAGTCTTGATGCTTAAGAGGAAATTCCACTACTCAGTGCATGGGCTGGCCCAAAAAGCGTGGCCTGGCTGGAAACAGAAGTGGGACAATGATGCGGATGATGTGGTAACAGACGCTTCTTTTTGTACTATACTCAATACAATGCTTCTCAATGCTTCTCCTCACCGCTCTTCACATTTGGGCTTTAACCATTTACATGTAGCTGGGTTAAGCCCAAGAGGGCACATAGCATAGGGACAATAGCATTTACTATACATTTGATCATGTTTTAATATTTCTGAATTCTTGACATGCCTATAAAGCAATGCATACATTGATTGTAATATTCCTTTCTTTTACAAAGTGCTGCTCTTAAATCAAGGAGTACCTCATAATCTATGTTGTCTTTAAAATCACTAAAATTACAACTTCCTCTGGCTAACTTTAGTGCCCTCTAGATCAACCCCAAAAGATCTGTTTGTCTGTAGGACTTTTATGCCTTCCATGGTTCCACAGGGAAGTTATTCCACCCCTCTGTAAAATCAACCTCCCTTTTGGACCCTGCAGCCACCTATATGTCACCAAATACAGGACACCCTGTACACCAGTTCTGGTAATTAAGCTCTGCCCTTGTGCCCCTTAACTATGTCCTCCCACCACTGCTTGTGTGTCTGTGGCTCTTGTAAGTCAATAAATGCACCTCCGCTCTCCCGAAAATCTAACATGGGTCATGGGTTCTACTAGGTGTTCTCAGACATGGGAAGAGAGAGAACTTTGTTGAACTTCTTTCCATTTAGTTTTTATATTTTGTCCTGGTTTTATTTTAAATGATATCACAGGTGTATTAAAATTTCTTCAGCACTTATGACTTCTTAAAGTGTAAGTCTCACTCCTGTCTTTTGCCTGTTGCCAGAGCTTCACGACATCGCTGATACCTACATCTTGGCCATGCTGCCCTGGGTGATCTCCTGCTTGGGCTTCTCCTGCTTGCCTGTGATGAGCAATGCACCATCATTTGCTTTGCCCCATTGGACTCTGGGATCCATACTACACCCCACCTTGTTTTACCAGGAGGCTGAGAGAGGTAGCTTGCTGTGGAGTCAAGCACACACGTGTAATGTCACAGGGATGGGCTCATGCTTGGTAGCTACTCCATTCCTCTGTACTTTAGCTTCACCTGTGAAATAAGGATAATGGTAATGCCTACCACTAGCATTAGAGAAGTAGCTTTAGAGAAAAATGTGTGTGATTCTGACCACACTGTTAAACCAAACAGTCTATCGTCAGTAGCAAGTATTAACTATGACTATTAGGTGATTTGTCCAAACACAGAGAGCAAGTGGTTGAAAAATTCTGAGCTACTAATTGTCCATCATTTTCAGAGCTGACCAATTAGTGTTGATAAGTTACCCAAAGTAGGAAGCTCTCAAAACCCTCCAGCTCTCCAATCATGATGACACAACATGGATTTTGGAGAGCCAATCTCCTGGTCTTCCTTCTCTTTTTCAGGAGAAATATTGTCATCTGAGATAGTAATTAAACTTACTTCATATCGGCCGTACTAAGGGGAAAAATTGGATCAACAGGAAAAAAAGAGAAAATGGCTTGTGTTGGTCAGCTTTCTTTTACTGTAACAATATGCGTGAGATATTTTAAAAAGAGAAAGGTTTCATCTTGGCTCACAGTTTTGGAAGATCTAGCCCATTACCGACTGGCCGTGTTTCTTCTCGTCTGCAAGGAGACAGCACGTCACAGGGAGGAGCCTGTGATGGAGTAAACCATGCACCTCATGGCTAGGAAGCAAAGCACACAAGAGGCTAGAGTCCCACTGTTCCCTCTGGGTTACACCCCCAAGTACCTAAGGACCTCCTGTTAGCCCCACCTTTCAAAGATGGCCTCGCTCTGCAACAGAGCCACTCTAGGGACACACTAAGGCCTTCAAGGGACCTTCAAGATCCAAACCATTGTATCAAGAAAACTAAAAAGGTCTAATCATCCATGCTGTGGGGGAGCTTATCCCATGGTGCAGTAATAAGAAGGCAGAAATTAAACCATGGTGTTTAGACACTGGACCTTGAGGAGGACTTGTTTAGACGTTGGGAGGTGATTAGGATTAGATAAAATCATCAGGATGGTCTTATCTGTACTTGAAGAGTGGCAGATTTATCAGAAAAAGCCCATAAATACACATGCTCCCTGTCTCACCACCTCATGCCCTTCACCTTCTTGGGACTCTGCCAGCAAGTAGGCCACTACCAGATGCAGCCCACAACTATGAGCCCAAATAAATCTCTTTCCTTTATAACCTACCTTGCCTGTGGTGTCATGTTTTAGCAATGGGAAATGGACTAATTCAGTCTTCCATCTTTCAAGGTGTTCAAGCTAGGCTACACGCTATTGAAAAGTTAAGAACTGACCGCCCTTTACCATCAACTTTCTTTCCAACACCGGGATTCTAACACTCGGGAAGCAGCAGCCTCTCGGAGGTCATACATTCATTCAACATTAACTATCAAAGAATACATGCTCCAAGTGGTGTTTTGGTCTGGAGAAATCGAAAGCACTTTTTTAAATGTACTGTAAATGGTTTCTGTCTCAAGCGCCAGAGATTAAATGGTGATTTGTATAGCATTAACAAGTAACAGGGCCTTCCTCTGGATGGCCAAAGAATTAAAAACCCAGTAAGTCCATTGTTCATTCATTCCTTTCTTCAGTGTTTGACCAAAAGTTTAATTTGTCAACTATAACTCTTTTCTGCACTAACCTTATTTTGAGATTTTCCATCATTTTCTCAGTCAGATATGCTGCACAAAACTCGATTCTTTGGGTAGATAAAGACAGATTCTACAGTAAACAGCTTACCAAAGAAATTGTGTATTTTTATATCACATAGCAGAAAATATAAAAGAAAACTGTCACTTATGAGGGAGGAGAGAAATAGTTAAACTTAATCCTACCTGAGTCTTTCTCCTTTGTGAATTAGCTGACAAGGCCTTTTGTTTAGTTCATTGGGTCATAAACAGAACTTCCATAGAAGAACAAGAAAGGATTTTCAGCATATTTCCCCCAAAATAAAGTATTTTATGGTTAAAGGATTTGCACCTTGGCTCCTTTTCACTGCAAGACGATGGCAGTATTAATTTACAATATTGTCAGATTTCTAATTTCATAGTTTCCTTTTTGAAGGAATGGGTTTGTGGCAGAAGCTGCTCCTGTCCCCCGACATGCCTCCCCTTTCTTTCAAAGGCACTGGAATCTCTGAGCTTGGTCTCTAGCCTCAGCCACCGAGAACAAGACTCACTGCCCAGCCTTCCTTGCAGCCAGATGGGGCCATGGACTAGGTGTGTCTGGAGCACACAGGAGGGAATGATATGTTCAACTCCAGCTTGTGTTGCTGCCCACCCCTTTCCTGTCTCTTTCTCCACTGGCTAGGACAATGGGAGCTCAGGCAGCCATCCTGGACTGTAAGATGCAAGTTAGGAATAAGGGGAACAAGCACAAAACCAAAGTCGCCGTGACCTGTGAGCCCTCCCTGATCTGCTTGCACTAGCTCTTTCACCTCAGCCCCTACCTTCTCACTCCTCTCTGCCTCATCTATGCTGGCCTCTTTGTTGTTCAACACCCAGACACACTTCAGCCACAGGGCCTTTGTACCTGCTGGACACTCTTTCCCCAGATGGTCACCTGGCCCACCCCTGCACTCTCCCCAAAAACATTTACACATTAAAACTACTCAAAAACATTTACGCATTACATAGTGACATTTTGGTTAACAATAGACCGTGTATACAGCAGTGGCCCTATAAGTTTGTAATAGAAGCAGAAAATTCCTAGAGACATTCTAGCTACATCCCTAGGGATTACTGTTTGTGGTGATGCTGGCATAAACAAGCCTACTGTACCACAGTTGTATGAAAGAATAGCACATGGGATCACGTATAGTACACAACACTTGAAAGTGATAATGAATGACTGTGCTACTGGCTTGTGTATTTTCCATACTATCGCTTCATCATCAGTTTGGAGTTTGTTCCTACTTATAAAAAAAAGATTAAATAAAATGGTACACTGTGTAACACCTGTAAAAGTCCCATTCCTCTCTGCTTGCCTCATCCCTTACGTGAGTCAGGAGACACCAAGCGATTGCACTACGCCAGCTAGGACCACAGAAGTACCCTCTGTGATGTCCACATTGCGACAAAATCATCTAACAAAACATTGCAGGAGTACATCCCCCTAGCTAAGCAATGCACACAAGTGTGTGCCACCATCCCAGTGAGGTGCTGCCTTGAACACGGAGTCTAAACCTTCCCAGCACTGACCCCCCAACTCCTCCTACCGCCATCTTCCTTTATTTTCCCCAAAGAACTTAGCACGGTGTAACGCATTAGGAATGTACTTTCATCACATCATTCCATTACCTGGTTCCCACTGGAAGATCCAATCTATGACAGCAGGGATTTCTTCTGCCTCCATTCACCCCTAGCTCGCAAGGTCTAGAATGCAGTCAGTGCTCAGTAAAGGTGTAATGAATGAAGGAAGCGGGTAGAAGAAGTCCAGAGGCCTGGTCCACTGGAGCAACCTTAGCTCACAAAGAAATAAACTACTGTTTTAACTTTGTCACTGCATTCTCCCTTGTCACAGCAGCCAACCCTGTACTTTACCAATAAGATATTTTCTCTTTCAGCAGGGCTGAAAGTATAGGAGCCCAAGAAGTGTTTGAAGCAGGAGGGTGCTGTGTACCTCCTGGCTTTCAGAAACCTCCCTCAAACCCAGGCGCCTCCTGTCAACAGAGCTGCATAATTTCCCACTATGGCATTATGCTCAACTTCCAGGTTCTCCTATGTGGAAGGAAGTGAACAGATGAGCTCAGACAACACCTCTGCCTCCCTGCCCCAGTTCCCATCTCAGCAAAGAGGAAGACAGTCACCACCCGCTGCACCAGCAAATAGAAGGAGCAAGTGAGACGCAGGGGAGGGGGCAATGAGAAGTGAGACTAGGAAGATCTGACCCACAGGGGGGACCTTGAGGGAAAGACCCACAGAGGGCAGATCTTTGAAGGGCGAGGAGGCCTGACCCGGGGAGAGAAAAGAGGAAAGAATCTGTCAGGCATGGGGGATTTGTGCTACCTGAAGGGACCTGCAAGGGGGCGCTAAAGAGTTTTGACTTTTTCTGACAACAGGAGCCCAAGAAGTATTTGAAGCAGGAGGGTGACATGAGCGCTGTGTACCTCCTGGCTTTCGGAAACCTCCCTCAAACCCAGGCGCCTCCTGTCAACAGAGCTTCATCCCCCAGACGAGGTAAGACTCCAGAGCAGGAGCCTTGTTCCATTAAAACTCTCTTACTCATTGCCTCACAAATGAGTTGCAAGAACTTGCCCTGGAGACAGCGGAATGCAAATGCAAACGACATGGAGTTGTAATAACATAAACATTATGAAACAATGCAAACCAGTTGGGCCTCCCGTGGAGAAATGCTCCCCGAACTCCTTTCCGAATTATCTTTATGGAAATTTCATAAAAATTTGCCATTAGTAAAACTGAGTAGCAATTATTTCTTTCTTTGGTTCATCAGTTGTGGGAGAAAAATTAATTGTGTTCTCCTTCTCTTTTGGAGTTTATCAGATGGCGATGAGGCGACAAGAACTGACAGGCCGGGGGCTCTGTGGATGAAAAGGAGGCTGTGGAGAACTCTGGACACCTTGTCACAGAGGGGCTTGCAGAGGTGGGGGTGGTTAAGAGTGGCTGTGGCAGGTGTGGTCTCCCCTAACAAGTGCTCAGGAAGCCTAAGTCATTATGGTATGTTGGCATAACATTTGCCAGCTTCACGGGGGCCATCGTTGTAAATTAGATTTAATATTGATCAGGCCACTCACAGTCAGGACCAGGAGAAAATAGGATGCCGAGTTCTTAGTCAAAACTGGTTCTTAAGATTCTACCTTCTAATTAACATAGAACAGAAATCCAGGCCCTGTCTTGCTGAGCCAGCAGGGCATAACCACTTTCCTGGTCCCTGAGGGTGGCGGGGAGGTGACAGCAATCCCCGCTGTCTTTCTATTTTCTCCCCCAGGTCGGCTGTGTTCTGCAGCAGCAAAGGAGACAGGGAAGGTGAGAGGCGAGCACAGGGGAAGGGAAGGAAACTTTCAGAGTGCGAACAGCCGCGTTTCTCTCCCACTTCTCGCCGCAGAAAGCTCTTTTTAAAAGAAATTTGGTTAGGTTAGCTTTCAGGTTGGCTTTTTAAAAATAAGCAAAGTGTGGTAGTTCATTTGGGATTAGACTTTTGGAGAAGTTACCGGTGAAACTTCCACTCCTGCTGAGAGACACCAGCCTTCAAGGCAGTGCCCCGTGGACAGACGCAGGTTCAGATCTATTAGGTTAGCAGCGGCGTGAGGCAACACCCGCAGACCGAGGCTGCAGGAAAGATCAAAATGTATTCACCTACATTTGGGCAGGCAGATGCTGAAATGGTATCAGCAGCTATCTGGAGAGGAGGCTAAGTACATGTAGAGTTTAGAGTTAGGGTCGCAGTACCAAAGGATCCGGATGAAATGTTCGAAGTCAAAATTACCCCAACAATGAGCACAGATGTGGGGCTAGAACTGGTGCCAGTCTGACTTTAGGTCCTGCCCTAAATGTCTTTAGCGCCCTGACATCGTGCCTGCAGAGGACAAGCCATTGTCAGTAGTGGGGAGTCTACTGTCCACAGTAGGCAGCCCGCATCTTTTTCTGGTCATTCTCAGGCCAGCCTTGGCATTTTCCTGTCTTTGGCTCTCGATGCTCTCAGACCTTGGGCAAAGGACTTGGTGTCTCTGAGCTTGAGTCTCCCCTTCCATAAAACAGGAAGCATAATACTGCCTACTTCCAAGCACTGCTAGAATGACCAAACAGAATAATGCATGAATTATGCGTTCAGCAAATATCAGGTAAATTTATTAGCATTATATGTTTATTATTACTATTGTTATGATACCCTTTGTCCTATTATACCACTAGTAGTAATGATAAGAGTGTGTCATCTAAAGTTTTACTTTTCTTTTGGGGTGTTTGGGGTTGATCCTAGGGTCCTATCCATGCTAAGTATACACTCCATCACTGAGCTACAGCCCCAGCCCTAAATGTTTACTTTAAAAACATGAACTGTGCGGGAGAATCCCAGTGCAATTATCAGACAGTGGCTTCCAGGCATTTTTTAGACATCTGCACTTCTCGAGCACCTTCCACCTGAATTCAGAGGTTTTAAGCTTCAGGTCTGCTTTTGCATCTCTTCCCTGTGAGCTTCACACAGACCTGATACTTCTCAGTGTTTCCCCTGACCGTTCATGGACTGAGCAGGCAGAAAATGTGCTAGAATCAGGGGGTCTTTTGGATCTCTAACACCTGCATAGAACTTGGCCCACGAAAGCAGGCCCAGAACTAGGGTAAGACACATGAGGCTCATTGGACATAGAATCTAGGAAGACAATCACCCTGGAGCACCATCTCTGCATTTTTATGACTCTAAGATGAGCAACTCCTTAAATTGTGTGCCCTGTAAGCCCCACTGTCTTCACCTGGTCTGGCCCTGCTTAGACTAGATGCTTCATCAAGGAATAAATGAATGAAGAAAGAAAAGAACCCCCCAGTTTTTCTCTAAGTCAAGCACCCAATGCTTCTGCTACCTTTACTGGCCTGGACATAGGTGAGGCGGGAAGATTTTTGAAACCAGAAAAATTTTAAGAATCTGCTTTCCCAGTGATCAATACCAAAACATAGCTATTTTTAAAAAAATCTAAACAGTGGCCCCAGATTTATCCACCCACAAAGAATTCCTCCTTGAAGCCTCATGGAGTTATTGGTCTTCAGAATTAATTGCAAAGCTCAACTCTAACCAGAAACATCTGTTGCCCTTAAGTAAAAGACTTAACCAGGGAACTGGAAAAAACAGATCCCAGTGCTCAGCTTCCCCTCTATTAATTTACAAACCCTACTTCCTCTGGCTCCCTGCAACCACTTCCTGGAAGCATCAATCAGGCCTATATTCCTGTAGGACTGGACTCTCTGTCTCACAGGAATATGTATATAGAACCTCTTTTTCCCTTGACTGTAACCTCTCATTTAATCCCAGCCTCTTCTTTCAACCCCAATAGCTTCCAATAGTTTCCTTCCCTTGGACTCATAAGGCCTCCTGGTTCCCACTTTAATGGACTTATCCACAGTTGGACACCAAAATGCAGCTGTGAAATTTATGTATGGACTAAGGCCATGCATTAAAATTGTTTAATATTTTATCATGAGTACAGCATACGTTGAAAAATATTCACAAAAGCATCCAGACAATGTGATATAGCTTAGATCTAAGATGTCCCACAAGGGCTTCATGTGGGGTGTAGCAAAGCTTTTGGAAGATGTCTGGCTTATGAGGAACACTGATGAGATCATAATTTGGTGGCATTATTAGGAGGTGATGGAAGCAGGAGGAGGCCAGTTGAAAGGAGTGGGTCATGGCCGGCATGCCCTCAGGGACCGTATCTGGTCCCTAGCGCCTTCTTCTCTGTCTGTTTCCATCTCTCTCTACTTCCTGGCTGCCCTGATGTGAGCTGTTTTACTCCATCGTACCCTTCCACCATGACTTTTTGCCTCACCTCAGGCCCATAGCAATGGACCAGCCAACCATGCACCAAATCCCTGAATCTGTGAGCTAAAAGAAATCTTTCCTCCTTAAATTGTCATGTCACAGGAATGAAAGATTAACACATTAATAAACCACAAGAATCTCAACCATTTTTATACATTTATTATGTGCCAAATTTTATTTAACATTATCTTGCTATTAATTAACAAAGTTTTCTCTCCTACGGTATCTGCTATATGGATTCATTTTTCCATTATCTTGTTGGCATTGGAAAGCTTATATTGCAATGCTACTCTGGTTACTGATACATTGAGGAACCCTACACCCGGCTTAGTTAAACACAGGAGTGAATATCTGTTATTTTTAACTACCCAGTACCTAGTCCCTCAATTCTAGAAGCACTACCCCAGTTCTCTTTCCAAAATCACCTCTTTGAGCCCACCTGCGTGGGAGACAACTGGCCTTGCTGTGGTTTCAGAGGTGGGTATGGCTCCTGGATCCAGCCAGTTGGAATGGCATGTCTTCTTGGTCCCTGCAGTTGCTCATGGGTACACACACAGCTGACCAGAACAGTGGTCAGTGCCAGCTAGAAGGAGAAGAGATTCTTTTATAATCCACTATGGCTATGAGCTGGGAGTTGCTGGCTGGTCACTTTTGCCTTCAGGCAGGAAAGTGCTCCCTGCAGAAAGCAAGCCCTAAGCTGGGAGAAAAGATTCCAGAACACTTGTGTGCACTTCTGGAGCCAGAATTTGGGCTTTTATAAAGCAAATTATGTTTGACGTGCGCCAGTGTACAAAGACAGTGGTCCACAACAGCCACTGAAGCTATGACATATGTCAAGCTGAGAGAAATGACTTCCACCCTAACCCAAAACCTTGACCCAAACCAGTTCTGCCACCATCTCACAGGCAGGCGTGCACCCACGTAGTCAGCCCGGCTTGATCCTCGGACGGGTTGCTGTGCACCTTC